TGGTGCTATTTTGCATAATAGTTATTATATAAAGGAATTTATTTGAGCGCCAAAGCTAAATCAATTTTTATTTTTCTGTGCATCTCTTATTGTCATATAATTATGGATACTCGTATCATTTGAGCAACAGATTGGTAGCTTAGCATTTGTCTGGGAGCACAAAGGGCTGCCAGATAAAAATTGGAAGTGTTAGGGCTGATTGATTGCAATTGTTAAATGATTTATCCAACGTATACCATTTTTCGGTCACTAACTTCAGGCTTTCATCTGGAAAGATCATTGTACCATGGAAGTTTCTTTGTTTGTTTGTTTTTTTTAAGTTAGTTTGTTTGATATTTGAGATTAAAAATATTATTTCATGGTGCAGTTACTGAATGGACAGGGGGCTTGTATGTGTCTCCTACCATAGCTGGAAGCCGGCCAGGGGGTCTGATTGCTGGGGCCTGGGCAGCAATGATGTCTCTGGGTGAAGAAGGTGAAGCAGTATTCTTACCAAACAACAACAATTGAAACTACGAAACATTTTAATTTATTATGTTGTTTGTCCTGATATTTTATCAAGTTTCCAGTTCTTGGACTGATTATTGTCCCATTACAACCTGCAGGCTACTTAGTTAACACTAAAAAGATAATGGAATTATCAAGGAGAATACAAGAAGGGTATTTGCTTGTTTAAATTATCCAATTCTTCTCTCTCTAATCCCAGATCATTTACTTCTGATTGACAAGTTAATGTCTGCAGAATCAAGGAGATACCTGAGTTATTTATCATTGGAAGACCAGATATGACAATTGTGGCATTTGGGTCTAATGTTGTGGACATCTTTGAAGTGAACGATATCATGTCCTCCAAAGGCTGGCATATGAATGCACTACAGAGACCCAATAGGTAGCCTCTGTAGTTCAAAGAAATTTGATATTCTATGGGATGATTATACCCATCCCCTTGTGCTTGATCTCCCATTTTATTACCCTTCTCATGCGGTTTTTACAAAATTGGGTGATGGTTAGGAAGAAATTAATAATTTATTGTGTTGGGGTTTGGTTTATGCTTCTTCAGTGACTGATTCTTTTCCCTTGTGCTCTATTCTCAGCATTCATATTTGCATTACTCTTCAACATGTACCAGTTGTTGAGGACTTCCTCCAGGATCTGAGGGAATCTGTACAAACTGTAAGTTGTTAATTTGAAGTGATCTTTTTTCCATTTAGCAGATCCAGTATCCTGTGAGTCTGTGGAGTGTTTTGAGTCTATGATACCTTACTAAAGGGCCCCAGTAATTAGCATGGCGGTTGGTGCCTGTGCATCTGTCCTCAACATGATCCACTTATATTCACTACTGTATAATCTTATCTTTCTATTTCTTCCTGTTTCAGGTAAAACAAAATCCAGGGCCGATAAAAGGAGGCCTAGCACCGATATATGGTGCCGCAGGGAGAATGCCAGATAGGGGCATGGTTCAGGAATTGTTGGTAAATTACATGGATGGTATATGCTAGTGGGATTCCTACTTGGATCTGTTTCAAATTCGGATTTTTTTCAATGTTTTCTAGACATCATATCTGATTCTTGTTCAAAAAGAATTAAACAATAATTTGGTAAAATGTTCCTCGTTTTTCATATATATTCCCACCTTTAAGTAATATTTGGCAGCGGTACAAAATAATGTTGACAAAAGATTGAATTTC